TAGTCCCGCTGCACACACGTAGCTCCTTCGAGACAATGGGACACACCGCAGGTAAGGGAAGGCTGCTGAGCTCAGCCAAGGTAGGCTCATCCCTGCAGCAGGAAGCACCAAAGCAAGTGCAAGTTCTAGCTTGAGAGAAGTTTCAACTTTCTCAAAACCAAAGAGCTAATGTCCTATTTGGGATGAATGATAGATACGTTTTTTATTCTGCCAGTTATTCTTCTGAAATAGCATTGCATGGACAGTCAGAAAGAGTTTAGGCTCAAAATGATAAATTTACAAGCCCTGATATAAGCAAATGAGAAATCTTTTTTTAATTATTAAATTTCAAAGAGGACAGTTCTGTTTTCATCTAGATAAAACTTTGTTTGTGCAACAAAATCATTGTAATAAAATGATCAATTTCTAGAAAAATTGTTAGCTTTCTACCTGATTATTTTCCCATAAGCCATGGCACAGATGTTTTTGGGCTGAAAAATTAGCTGATGAAATCACCAGTTCATTATTCTCATTCATAATGTATGCATACTCCTAACTCGCAGGCAACATCTTAAGATGGGAAGTGAAAAAGTGTGTTGCAGTACAGGCTGCAAGAGAAAAGCTGGCTGGGAACGGACATGGGCTGCTCTGGTAACGGCTCCTGTGCCGTCTTCTCCGTGCCACAAGCAAGGCAGCAGGTCTTCACACTGGAGCTGCTGAAGAGGGAGGCTCTTTACCCGACACTGGGTTTGGAACAATGCTTGATCACTTCTGGGTAGGCCTTTGGAAATGAAAAGGAAGACGTAGGTTTCTACCTTCAGGAAAAGGTTCTGTGCTGGGGCTCCCAAGAGTGAACTGATGTTTCCCTGCAACTCTGAGAGCTGCTTTAGTAGTGCTGTACTGAAGCACTTGCCTTTGTCTCAGCATCTCCCCGCTGACTAGTTAAAAGTAGGTGTAAATTCACTGCGCTGAGATGGGTACTCCCCATGTGGGGATCCTGTTCTGAGCTGCGTCGTTTTCCCCACCTGTACTGGAAACGTGGGCACGGGGCCCATGTGCTGGGGTCCACACTCAGCCTGGCAGTGCCAGGTAGGCTGGATCTAAGCTGCATGTTGCATCTGCCTTGGACCCTGACCATGGGCAGGGCTGGAGGAAAGGAATAGTTTTCCACCCTACATTTAAAAGGTAGCGGACCCCAAAGCACGAGAGTGAGGACTGCGGCCCTGCTCCATCTTTATCCCTTCTAGTGCATGAGCTTCATTCATAAGCAGCACAAGTCAGGCCAGAGAGAGGGGCTGGACTGTGCCCCAGGGCTGTGAAAAAATTGAGCTGTGGTCCTCTTCTGCAGGTGCTCCAGTATTGTGCAGTACTTGGGTAATATTTGAACAATAATGGACAAATGCTGCTTTTTAAAACTTTCTTTTCTAAGACAATAAGTACAAAAAGGCAGGGAGGCTTGCCATGAAACTGTTGGGTTGCTCTGTGGTATTTTGGCATAACCAGACCCATGTGAACAGTCACTGTTACAATCACAACATATGCCATGGCAAAGGATGGGTGCTGTCTTCACAGCTGCTTTGTCAGGGGCTGAGGAAATCCAGTTTGGGTGCAGGGGTGAGAACTACTGCAAGGAAGCAGAGGAAAAGCTGTCTGCTCCTCTGCTCTTCCCGTGGAGCTGGACAACTGCAGCTCCCAGAGCCAGTCCTATGACCAGAGCCCATGCCAGGGTGCAGCACTGTTGTCTGACCCCTTTTTCTGAGGCCTAAGCCCCCCTGGGAAGGGCTGCGCCAGCCAGGGCACTGGGCACAGATCTCTGCCACGCACCAGGGGCCTTTGTCTGGTGGCTCCTGTGCGACTGTTTTGTTCTGTGCCTCTCATCCCACTTAGGACCGGGGGCAGAGCAGCCCCGCACTGGTACAAAACACAGCTTTGCTGGCAGAGATGCAGTCACACCAGGGAGTGCTTCGCCAGCGTAGTATATAGTTCCTGTATCTGTTAAAAGCTCCTAGGGAAAACTGAGCATAACTGCAGGTGGAGAAAGATAGTATCACAGCTTCTGGTACGTCTCTGTGGTTTCACCTCCTTTTTCTTAGTGACCAAGAAGTGCTGCAAAAGGCATTTGGTGAACAGTCAGAAATGCTGGCTCCAAAGGCACCCATATTTCCAACAGCTATGACACGTTGAGAATGGGATGGAGAGCCTTTCAGTAATCCCCGTGATGTTTCCCTGCCTGTCCGTGTAGCTCGCAGCTCCCATGCGGTGGTGTTGCAGACGTGGGCTGGCACAGGCTGCTCAAGGCGTGGGCGACACGTATGACTCACAGGTAAGTGCAAACCAGAACTACTGACATTCTTGCTGAGGATGGGCTTTAGGCAAAGAGCCGCTATGATCTGAGTGGTGTTAGGGCCAGTACAGCATTGGAAACTGTGAAAAGAATTAAAATGTGTAAATAAATGTTGTACAGACACCTTAATGCCATCATTTTAGGCAAATACTGAAATACAAATTCATATTAACAATAGATTGACAAAGGACTTGCATTTGTAGCAGTTCAGTCTATTAGCCTGTGAATTATCTTTGTGTTTAGCGTCGCTGCATACCCATGTATCCAAAATACATTGAAATATTTAGTCAAGTAGCAACCAGTACTTACAGGTGATTATTTGTCTATGTAGTCAGCTTTGCACGTTTTATTCAGATGCTTGTGTGATCTATCACCTTTAGTAAGTGGTCACCGCCTTTTGTCAGGTGCCTTAGAGTTTTGGGAAAAGCGAGTGCTTAGCCCATTGCCTCCAAAAGAAACGGAGAGAAAAGCAGTTTCTTCTGAGAAAGGTGACCGCACTGAGCAGCAGCTCAGAAAGAATGTGAAAGGGAAAAATCAGAGGGATGAGGGGGGTGTCCCTGCGCAGCCTTCCTGCCCTCCAGAGGAGTTAATGGGAAATCCACCCTCTGGCAGACAGTTCCATTGCAGTGAATCCGCACATCCCATGTCCCAAGTGCACATCTCCTACCAACGCCTAAGAGCAGATTGGGTTTTGGTGTGCGTTTGGCTTTTAACACGTGTAAACCACTCTTTGGTACAGGCTGTGAAGGCTTTTCCCCTCCTCTGCATAGGCGGTCTCCACATTTTGGCCCACTTCCTAAAGCAGTGAGGTTTCTGCAATCCCTTCTCCACCACCTCAGAAACGCTGACCAGCTTCAGCGGTGTTTGACAGCGGCAAGGAGGCCTGGGGATACCATACCCCTGTGGTACGCTGACAGCTGTTAGCCCAGCATAAGAACAACACTTCGCAAGTGCTGCCATGGGCAAAAGTGTATGAGCTCAACACACAACCAACCACAGAAACCCAGGTGATGGGAGCTGCAGCAGCCACCGGGCTTTGGAGCTAATGGGAGCACAACTTGTTCTTTTTGATTTGTCTTTTTTTTTTTTCCCTCCCCATTTTTGCCTCTTGTGAAATTGTTTGTTCATACTTTTACCTATCTTCATGAAATTGCTGTCATCCTCACAACTTTAAGATCCCGCTCTTGCAAATGGCAGCCAGGGCTTGCCTCTCTACCTATCTGTGAATTACTGCTGCTTTCCTGAGGTGTAGCAGATTAGGTGATGGAGGGATCCTACCCATCTACAGGAGGTGACCAAAGGAAAAACATTGAGTGCCCCAAGAGAAAGACAAGCTAATTACTGCATCACCTACAAGACTGCTAACAAAGTACGGACTTCACTGCCCTAATAGTGAGCTGTAATTTAACCACATGAGATTGTCCTTTTCTCAGGAAAAAGGCAAAGCGTTTCCCCTAAGTCCTGAGGGTGAGGGGAGGAGGCCAGGGCCAGCCTTATGCTGGTGCAGCCTCACACAGGTTCCAGGCCCCTTGTTTGGGCTGGGGGCACCAGCAGGGGGAATGGCCCTGTCCTCCATCAGCTCTGTCCTCTCCCTGAGCCGGTGAAGCGCTGCCCTGCTGCTCTCCGTAGCTGTCCCCTTCCTTCTGCC